AATAGTCCTTTCAGTTTGGTCCTATTTCAAAATAGTCCTTTCAGTTTTGTCCCATTTCAAAATAGCCGTTCCAGTTTGGTCATATTTCAAAATAGCCCTTTCAGTTTGGTCCCATTTCGAAATAGCCTTTTCAGTTTGGTTATATTTCAAAATAGTCAATTTATTTGTGTATGGTATCAGCAGCTGTTTTGAATGATGCTAATTTGGATTATCAGTGAACTGTGACGAGCCTGGTCCAGTGATCTCTTCCCAGCCTCTTCGGGATGCATGGGGATGATGATGATGATATGGAACTGTTGCTCATGTCTCGGATGTGAATAATAACCATACTAACCATACTGCACTGTGTAATAACGGGGCCAGCCACTGGAACAGATATCTGTCCACCAGATGTGCACCGTAAACATCGCTGTCAGAAGAAGGGGACATGTCACGCATTCAGCCGGGCATTGTTTCTGATGCGGGTTATTTTCGTTCTAAATATTTATGAACATAATGAAACGGTTGAAAACCATATTCAATTTCATTCAACATGTTTAGGGATATTTCTTTTGAAAATGTGTGTAAATTTTCCAATATATGTGCAAAAGAGTGTTAAAACACATTAGCAGTTCCAGCATTTGTTCCAAGCTGTGGCACAGGGGCTATCAACAGCAATCCACATGCTCGGGCAATCCATAACTCTCTATTGTGTGTAGGTTAGTTTTCACAAGAAATTATTTAAATGTGAGCTTGCTAGTTGTGTAAAAATATGCAAGTTAACTCAATCTATATTATCTACTGTTTGATTGTAAAATAACTTGTCCTGGTATTTTGTTGAGTTGTCTATCATATTTGTCTACTGGACAAGGGTATTTGTCTACATGTCTACATGTGAGGGTTTAACAACATCATCTGTAAACAGTTAATTAACCCATCGCAACGGTATCCCCCCAAAACGTAGACCTGCCAAAACGCAGACCCGTTAAAACAACACTCGTTATGGCTGGTAAGGATTTAACAACATCATCTGTAAACAGTTAATTAACCCATCGCAACACATCCTCACATGTGAGGGTTTAACAACATCATCTGTAAACAGTTAATTCACCCATCGCAACACACCCTCACAATGTTTGATGATGTTGTTCTTTAACAACATCATCTGTAAACAAGTAGTTAACCCATCACAACACTACCTCACATGTATGGTTTTAACAGCATCATCTGTAAACAAGTAGTTAACCCATCGCAACACATCCTCACATGTATGGTTTTAACAGCAGCATCTGTAAACAAGTAGTTAACCCATCACAACACATCCTCACATGTAAGGGTTTAACAACATCATCTGTAAACAGTTTATTCACCCATCGCAACACACCCTCACAATGTTTGATGATGTTGTTCTTTAACAACATCATCTGTAAACAAGTAGTTAACCCATCACAACACTACCTCACATGTATGGTTTTAACAGCATCATCTGTAAACAAGTAGTTAACATGGTTAACCCATCGCAACACATCCTCACATGTAAGGGATACAGCTTGCAGCTGTTTAGCATGTGACATGTGGCCACAACATTCATAGAGGCCTCAGGTCAACCAAGGGTCGGTAGGGTAGCCTAGTGGTTAAAGCATTCTCTTGTCACACCAAAGTCCCAGGTTTGATTCCCAACATGGTACATCGTGTGAAGCCCGTTTTCTATTCCTGTTGTGATATTGCTGGAATATTGTTAAAAGTGGCGTAAACCCTACTCACTCGCTGAGGTCAACCAAGGTTCACCTGCGACATGTATAATGAAGACTTATTTAACTCTGACCCTTATGGTTAATTGTACGATAAACAACGACCACTTTAAGGATGATGATAAAATGTACAAGCTTTAAAAATATTTACCCATATTTGAGTAAATTGTCTCCCTCAATAGAATCCGATCTCAGCAATGTCAGACAAGTCCATTTTATGCAGAGGTGGGTGTTTCCTGTATATTCTCAAAATCCTCACGTTGATTACCTGTACCTTTTCTCCCAATACCGAGTCATATCCCTCCCGCTTTTGGATACAATCATTCGACCATCGTGGCTATCTGCATTGCCGAGCTACATCTATGTGGACCATCTCTCCAGGCACTCCCTTCTCAAGAATAACATCGTCCAATATACAACATCATCAAGTTGTCAGTGCATGTTCCAATCACCAGAAATGACGTCATGATGGACCAATGTTTAAACCTGAAATAAACCGCGCTTCTTACTTCATTGTCCTATATGATTTATCACCTAGCCATCTTATATCAGTATATAGATTTCCTTTGCTTGATGTTAATAATGATTTATGGTATGGTTTCCTCATCCTGCACAAGGACCTGGAACGATTATTATCCAAGCATGGTGTGTGGAAACATCATTTTCCCATTTATTGATTATCAGATAACTGTACTTGTGTTATGATCTGAATAATATTCCTTTTGAACATGTTGAAAGTAGTCGCTTCAATTTCAGTGGATGCAAAAAATCGCAAGGATGTAGTGTGATGTTGAAACAGTAATTGATATGCAAATAGTTTAGTTTCTTCAGACAGAGTGCAAGCGATAGAAATGTTTGAACTCTCCTGCTGTTACATGGTCCAGCAATACTTGTGGTCATAGCCAGGCCTAGTTTGTAGTAATAATAAACAGTGCCCAGTTCAGACTAGAGATAAACAGTGCCCAGTTCAGACTAGAGATAAACAGTGCCAAGTTCAGACTAAATGTAAACAGTGCCCAGTTCAGACTAGAGATAAACAGTGCCCAGTTCAGACTAGAGATAAACAGTGCCCAGTTCAGACTAGAGATAAACAGTGCCCAGTTCAGACTAAATGTAAACAGTGCCCAGTTCAGACTAAATGTAAACAGTGCCCAGTTCAGATTAGAGATAAATAGTGCCAAGTTCAGACTAGAGATAAACAGTGCCCAGTTCAGACTATGTGTAAACAGTGCCCAGTTCAGACTAAATGTAAACAGTGCCCAGTTCAGACTAAATGTAAACAGTGCCCAGTTCAGACTAAACGTAAACAGTGCCCAGTTCAGACTAGAGATAAACAGTGCCCAGTTCAGACTAGAGATAAACAGTGCCCAGTTCAGACTAAGTGTAAACAGTGCCCAGTTCAGACAAGGGATAAACAGTGTCCAGTTCAGACTAGATATAAACAGTGCCCAGTTCAGACTAAGTGTAAACAGTGCCCAGTTTAGACTAGAGATAAACAGTGCCCAGTTTAGGCTAAGTGTAAACAGTTCCCAGTTTAGACTTAGTATAAACAGTGTCCAGTTCAGACTAGATATAAACAGTGCCCAGTTTAGACTAAGTGTAAACAGTGCCCAGTTTAGACTAAGTGTAAACAGTGCCCAGTTCAGACTAGAGATAAACAGTGCCCAGTTCAGACTTAGTATAAACAGTGTCCAGTTCAGACTAGATATAAACAGTGCCCAGTTCAGACTAATTGTAAACAGTGCCCAGTTCAGACTAAGTGTAAACAGTGCCCAGTTTAGACTAAGTGTAAACAGTGCCCAGTTCAGACTAAGTGTAAACAGTGCCCAGTTCAGACTAAGTGTAAACAGTGCCCAGTTCAGACTAATTGTAAACAGTGCCCAGTTCAGACTTAGTATAAACAGTGTCCAGTTCAGACTAGATATAAACAGTGCCCAGTTCAGACTAATTGTAAACAGTGCCTAGTTCAGACTAATTGTAAACAGTGCCCAGTTCAGACTAGAGGTAAGCAGTGCCTAGTCAGACTAGAGATAAACAGTGCCCAGTTCAGGCAAGAGATAAACAGTGCCAAGTTCAGACTAAGTGTAAACAGTGCCAAGTTCAGACTTAGTGTAAACACTGCCAAGTTCAGACTAGAGGTAAGCGGTGCCTAGTCAGACTAGAGATAAACAGTGCCCAGTTCAGACAAGAGATAAACAGTGCCCAGTTCAGACTAAATGTAAACAGTGCCCAGTTCAGACTAAATGTCAACAGTGCCCAGTTCAGACTAGAGATAAACAGTGCCCAGTTCAGACTAAGTGTAAACAGTGCCCAGTTCAGACTAAATGTAAACAGTGCCCAGTTCAGACTAAATGTAAACACTGCCAAGTTCAGACTAAATGTAAACAGTGCCCAGTTCAGACTAAATGTAAACAGTGCCCAGTTCAGACAAGAGATAAACAGTGCCCAGTTCAGACTAAATGTAAACAGTGCCAAGTTCAGACTAAATGTAAACACTGCCAAGTTCAGACTAAGTGTAAACAGTGCCTAGTCAGACTAGAGATAAGCTGCAATCAGTTCAGACTAGAGATAAACAGTGCTCAGTTCAGACTAGAGTTAACAATATCCAGTTCAGACTAGACATAAGCAGTGCCAAGTTCAGACTAGCTTATCCAGAGGATTCCCATGCAGGGAAAATATTTTGCTTTTATATCCAACCAATGACCTGGCTGATTGTATCACCAAATTATACCATTTACAATGAGGATCTTGCGTTCACATCAGCACTACTTGGTTGTCTTCACCAGTCGATTTACAGGTCCTCTCATACATACCGTATTCGACGTAATAAGCGCCCCGCTCTAATAAGCGCCCACGACGATATTTGCTAATATACTGGCTAGTGAACAATTCCAATTAGCACCCCTTCTGATTGATAAATGTACACAAGGCTATTTATTCGTGCATAATACGTTTGTTATTTGCACCCTTAATTATGGGCAATTAATTTCTGGAAAAATATATCTGTCGTTTATAAACATTTCAGCATAAACCACGAAATTTACGCTCTCTGAACTCAAAAATATATATTCTAATAAGAGCCCCCAATTTCTAATTTTGAGAGCGCCCTGGGCGCTTATTATGTCGAATACGGTATGCAATATTGCTGACTACAGCATGGTCCATTAACTATCACGCCATCACGGTGTTCATAGTTTCAATCCAGAAATTAGATCTATGGAGTGCTGAGTACACAGGTAGATTCATCTTGTGATCCTTCTCATTTTCCAGCCGACAGCAATCTCGGGACTGCCGATTTCAACAGTCCTAAGCAGTCGTTCGTACCCTGCAAGGTATGCGGCGACCGGGCGTCAGGCTACCATTATGGTGTAACTTCCTGTGAAGGATGTAAGGTGAGTGCACGCTTTGCAAATATCAGTCACATTCTAAGTAGTGCCGTTCATCGGCTTCTTCTCAATTGATAGAGTGTCTGCCCAGAGAGTGGAAGGTCGGCGTTTAATCCCTGGCCTTCATATGTTATAAGCCGCCTCTGTGGTCTAGTGCTAGAGCGTCCTCCCGGAGAGCGGAAGGTCCGGGGTTCGATCCCCGGCCGCGTCATACCAAAAGACGTTAAAAGATGGTACTTGTTGTTACCCTGTCTGGCGCTCGACATTAAGGGGCTAAAACAAGGACTGGTCGTCTCGGAGACAGTATACTGTGTCTGAGTGGGGTATTCATGTTAAACTGCGGCATGGTATCTCAGTGAGCTAGCACTATAAATTGGCATCAGTCCGGACGAGTACAAGCAGCCACAGACACACACGTGCATGCACGTCGCTATATAAGTGCAATAATCTTGGACGCGACGTTAAACCCAATTTCACCTCACCTCATATGTTATAAGATGGTACTTGTTCTTACCCTGCCTGAGGTTTGGCATTAAGGGGCTTAAACAAAGACTGGTAGAGTCTAGGGCTGCAACGAATACACTATGAGGCGAATACTATTCATATCACGAATATAGGGTAACAAATACTAATATTAATTCACAATTACAATAACAAGTCAGCAGTTTATGTATTATTTATATTATTCAGTGAAACAATAACATCATAAATTATTTGACATGGTTTGTTAATTATTAATAAATTATACATTTATATAGCGCACTTATCCAGGTACTAGTATCTGCTCAAATGCGACAATGACCTGTGAAAACAATACTTTCAAATTAAATATTATTAGAGTGTTGTCATTGAAAGAAATCTATGCATATAATATGTTGTTATGGATATTTTTAGGTACAGGGTATGTAAATATACAAGATAGCATATTCATAAATATTTGATTCAAGTGGCCATGAATAACGAATTCAATTCATGAATGGTTACGGTTCGATTCACCAAATATGCGAGTGAATCGTAACAGCCCCAGTAGGGTCAGAGTCTGTATAGTGTATCAGAGTGGGGTATCCTTGTTAAACCCGGCATGGTGTCTCATTGGTGCTACTAGCTCTATCAAACTGACATTTATCCGGACAAATACAATCATTCACGCACACATGCACATGCATGCTACATCACTGTATGAACGTGACACACTTCACTTCACCACACCTCTTCTCATTTGATGTGGGGGCACGGGTGGCCCAGTCGTCTAAGGCGCTGCGATTCGCTGTGCAGAGTTGCCTCCCTTGGACTATGATCGTGGGTTCGAATCCCGGTTCACCCCTATTATGTTTCTAGGTATGTCAGCATCATACCCGTGCTCATGGGTTTCACCGAAGTGGTAAACATTTGAGACCTGCATCACTTCGAGCTTTCCTCCCACTTTAAACTGACACGCCGCGATGTAACTGGAATACTGTTACAAGTGGCGTTAAACCCAACACACTCACTCACTCACTCTCATTTGATGTCCTTGAAGGAGTACTTTGTGTTCAATTGGGAATGGAATGGCACAGGTGTTCGCTGTGCAGAGTTGCGTCCCTTGGGCACGCCAGAAAACTATGATCGTGGGTTTGAATCCTGGTTCGCCCCGATTATGTTTCTAGGTACAGTGTGTCAGCACCATACCTGTGCTCTGAGACCTGCATCACTTCGAGCTTTCCTCCCACATTAAGCTGACATGCCGCGATGTAACTGGAATACTGTTACAAGTGGCATTAAACCAAACACATTCACTCAATCACTTTCATTTGATGTCCTTGAAGGAGTACTTTGTGTTCAGTTGGGAATGGAACGGCACAGGCGTTCGTTGTGCAGAGTTGTGTCCCTTAGGCAAGTCAGCAACCTATGATGACGGTTTGCTGTAATTAACGTTTCTAGGTTTTTCGTCCCCATACCAGTGCATAAGGGTTTCTCAACAGTGGTTAACATAACTTTGACCTCTCCCCCAACATCAAGCTGACACTCCATTATATAACTGGATAACTGTTCAAAGCGATGTTAATCCAAACCCATGTTCGAGTCCAGTTTAATTTAAAAAAAATTTTAATTTATATATGAAAACACAGACTCTTCTAAAAATCTGTAATTAATCTGTGCAATATCTTTTTCCCTTATGGGGTGTTGCATACCTTCCTCGTTATGCAATATGTATCTCAACACTTGAGTCTGACGGTAACCATGGTGACTATTGGGTCTATTTCCACTATTGAGATAGTATTGTGATATTTATAACTAAGTGCGATCATTGGAACTATCAATTGTTATGCATACTATCCGCAAACCACCAACGTTTTGGGATTCTATCAATTTAGTACTGTCATAGGGCAAGCAATTGAAATACGTCAGTTTCTCATGATGTGTGACAGTGTTTAAAAATTAAGCTTGAAAGTTAACAGGTTAAGGGAATCTTGTTATTGCCCAATTGCTGAAGGTTGGATTTAGGAGATAGCTAGATCAAACTACTTCAAGGACCCCAGGAGTTCCCTTAATTATACCCCCGTTTACAAAGTAAACCGGGGGTATATAGCGTTCCGTCCTACAGTCCAGTCCGAGCTTTTGTACGGCCCATAACTTTTTAACCATGCACCCTAGCTTCACCAAACTTGCTACACACATTAACCACAGTGAGTACTTGTGCCTTTTGCTAGTTTGAGGATTCTGAATTCTTTAAATTTTGCCGTTTCCATGGAAACATTAGAAACTTAAACTTTTAGGGTGGGTGTTTTGTACGGCCCATATCTTTTTAACCATGCACCCTAGCTTCACCAAACTTGCTACACATTTACCAAAATGAGTACTTATGCCTTTTGCTAGTTTGGAGATTCTGAATTTTTCTAATTTTTGCAGTTTCTATGGAAACATTAAGAAACTTAAACTTTTAGGGCTGGTGCTTTGTACGGCCTATATCTTTTTAACTATGCATCCTAGCTTCATCAAGCTTGCTACACACATTTACCACAATGAGTACTTGTGCCTTTTGCTAGTTTGAAGATTCTGAATTTTTTTTATTTTTGCCTTTTCCATGAAATCATGATGAAACATAAATTAGATGGGTAGAGTTTTTGTATGATCCTTGTTTACAATATTATGTATCCTAGCTTCAGCAAACTTGCTACATTAACCACTATGATTGTTTTTTATCTTTTATAAAATTCTGAAAGTTTTCTCTTTTGCTGTTTTCATGGAAACATGTTGGAATTTAGAAATTTTGATGACTGGTTTTGTATACATGGTATAGCTAATATATTTTCCAAAATTGTTTCCACACATGTAGATCATCATAAGTATCTGTGCTTTGTGTTAGTTTGAATTTATGAATTCTTTACCATATCTGTTAAGGCTAGATGGAATTTATTGATTTTCTTATATGATATTGTACCTTTTTTATGTGTTTTTATATCAACAATGTTTGGTCCTTTTGATAATTCTTCTTATGTAACTCCTCAATCACATTTTTATTCAAAGGTGTTCATGGTGATCAACTTCCTCGTAGTGAACACTGGTAACATGGGAGATTTGAGGGTGGGGGGGGGGGCAATTGTCACTGGATCTCAATCTTAGTTTTTAAAACATTGAAGTTAAAATCAGTTAGAAGTATGTAATATTTCATTAATTAACAAACTATTTACTATTTGTTGTTGACCAGCGGGGATAACGGGGGTATGTGAGCTTTGCTCACTTCTTTCTTGTTAACAACAGTTTTCTTGATTGACAATCATTGTGAAGCATCATTAATAGCAACAGACAGGGAACACCATATGCTGTTACCATGGTTACTTGGGTGCAATATCAATAACGGTGTAAGAATCTACTTCGGGATGTTGCTAAATGCTGTACATCAGAAGTTGTATGTTTTCTGCTTTCTCTCCAACTTCTAGAATGGCTCTCAAACAGTTAGATGCATGATGGTTTATAAACCTGCTCTGAAATATTATTGTTCAAAAGGTTTCCACAAGGTTTAGCGTGAATATACAAATCACAATACGTATCATATCGTGAATTTACTGTATCGTTTCACCACTATTGCTTACTGCTGGGATTCAACCATGGGACTCACTAGTACTTCTGTCATAGTGCATGTTGCATCACAAATTATTTGTTTTTATCCCTTTAGTATATAGTATTCACGACCGTCCGTACGTACGTCCGTACGTCCGTACGTCTGTACGTCCGTACGTCCGTACGTCCGTCCGTACGTCCCACCTGTTTGTTGCCGCGATATCTCAAGAACTAAACACTGGATTGTCTTCATATTTGGAACTATGGTGTATATACAGACTCCGCAGACACCAGTCGGTTTTGGTGACCTTGATCCCATTTTCAAGGTCACAGCAGACAAATCTGCTTTTAGAGTTGGAAAACGGTGTTGCCGCGATATCTCAAGAACTAAACACTGGATTGTCTTCATATTTGGAACTATGGTGTATATACAGACTCCGCAGACACCAGTCGGTTTTGGTGACATCCCATTTTCAAGGTCACAGCAGACAAATCTGCTTTTAGAGTTGGAAAACGGTGTTGCCGCGATATCTCAAGAACTAAACACTGGATTGTCTTCATATTTGGAACTATGGTGTATATACAGACTCCGCAGACACCAGTCGGTTTTGGTGACCTTGATCCCATTTTAAAGGTCACAGCAGGCAAATCTGCTTTTGGAGTTGGAAAACGGTGTTGCCGCGATATCTCAAGAACTAAACACTGGATTGTCTTCATATTTGGAACTATGGTGTATATACAGACACCGCAGACACCAGTCGGTTTTGGTGACCTTGACCCCATTGTCAAGGTCACAGCAGGCAAATCTGCTTTTGGAGTTAGAAAACGGTGTTGCCGCGATATCTCAAGAACTAATCGCTGGATTGTCTTCATATTTGGAACTATAGTGTATATACAGACACCGCATACACCTGTCAGATTTGGTGACCTATCCCCATTTTCAAGGTCACAGCAGGCAAATCTGTTTTTTGAGTTGGAAAACGGTGTTGCCACAATATCTCAAGAACTAATCGCTGGATTGTCTTCATATTTGGTACTATGGTGTACAGGCGGGGGATATTTCGTCACTCTGTGACAAATACTTGTTAGATTTCATTGTTTAACAGCATTAGAAACTAACAGTTTTAGACCACTAGTCCTTATAATGATAACATATAGCAAAACACTTAAAAAGGGCAAATTTCTACTAGTCCTCATAATACCATAACTATTGGGCAGTTTGGCAAGGACTATAGGACTAGTGCCAATTTCTAACGCTGTTTTAAGTATTCCATCATTGAATTGAAATGTTCTTAAAGAGATTTATGTTTTGTTTTCTTTTCTGCTTTTTTCAGGGCTTCTTTCGCAGAAGTATACAGAAGCAGATTGAGTACCGTTGTTTACGGGACGGAAAATGCATGGTTATTCGACTCAATCGCAACCGCTGTCAGTATTGCCGATTCAAGAAATGTCTGGCTGTGGGAATGTCTCGGGACTGTAAGTACCGGAATTACTCATTTCTTTCAATAGGATCTGTTATCAATGCCTGAAATACCTTGAAGATACTTGAAGAATAGGTCTTCAGCAACCCATGCTTGCCGTAACAGGCAACTATGCTTGTCGTGAAAGGCAACTATAGGGATCTCGGGTGTCAGGCTCGCTGACTTGGTCGATGCATGTCATTGTATTCCAATTATTTTTTATCAATGCTCATGATGTCAATCACTGGTTTGGTTGTCCAGACTCTATTATTTACAGACCTCTGTCATATAGCTGGAATATTGCTGAGTGCGGCGTTAAACAACAAACAAACAATGTCTGAAAACATAACTAATAATGGAGTTTATGGAACTGAAATATTTTGTTAATGATTCCAGTAATTGCTGAAATTATTCAGCTATGGACCTAGTAAATGCCACCCACAGTCCAGAGTTGTGTCCCTTTGCTGTCAGAATCTACTGGTTACTGGTCGGATTAAGTCCTCACAAACTTCATTCATACAGCATGGCCTAACTCAGTCAGTGTTGATGTTAGTTCTTATGGAACTGTTGACCACTCGGCTATTCGATAATGGGATCTTTCACTTCATCTGTTCAAAAAGATATTGACTAATCTTTCAAAGATTAATTTGTTTGGTGTGGGTTGTATGTTGTTTAGCATCGCATATGTATTTTGGCTATATGACGTCAGCCTGTAAATAATCGAGTCAGGACCATACAATCTATTGATCCATCATGCATTGATCGACACAACAAGCATCAACAAAGTTACTGGGCCTTATCGCTCGATCCTGGGGACCTATATTCTTCCTCAGAATCTCCATGGGACCAAAGATTAATTCACCAGTATCAGCCAGAATAAACTTGGTTATTGCCTACTTTCAGCTGTGCGATATGGCTGCGTCCCGAAGCGCTCCAAGAGCCAGAATATACTTGGTTAATGCCTACTTTCAGCTGTGCGATATGGCCGCGTCCCGAAGCGCTCCAAGAGCCAGGATGACCAGCGTGTGAGCTCGACTGACTCCAGTCAGGACCAGACAGCCCTGGAGAACAAACAGTTGGCCATCTACGACGTGATCCTCAGCATCTCCCAGGCCCACCACACACACTGCGGCCTCACCGAGGACAAGATCAAGGTCATTCAGAGGAAGCCAGCGACCCTGGTCAGTTCCACTGCTTCTGTTGTCATAGTGACTCGGGTTTAGGTGGTTCGGTAGGGTAGCCTTGTGGTTAAAGGGTTAGCTCGTCATGCTAAAGATGCATGGGTGCAATGTGTGAAGCCCATTTCAGGTGTCGCCTGCCGGGATGTAAAGCGGCGTAATTAATCACAGTCAAGCATAGGATCTATGTCTCTCTCACCATTCATTCAATGTCTGAATTTGATTTGAATTACCAAATGAATTGAACTATTTCACTGTTTTCGTCATTAAGTGATAACTGTATGAAGCTCAATCATAAAGTAAACTGAAATTTTTTGTGCTTTTTCGGTTAAGAGCATCTCTCGACTGAAAAGTTAGTGTTTTAAAGATAAGAATTCAGTTTTATAAATCAGTACATGTGTGACACTTTGTGGAGTGTAATCTGTGGTCGTCACTAACCTGAGCTGTTTGCTTAACAGATGCAGCAGATTAAGATACCAGAGCAACCAGTTCAGTTTACAGCGGAAGAGCTGGAGGCCCAGAGACTCCTCATGTGGCAGCACCTCTCCACACTCATAACTCCCTCAATACAGAGTGTCGTAGAGTTCGCTAAGAGAGTGCCAGGTAAGTCCATATTCAGTTGAGTTTTCTTAAAGAAGCTGGAGAAATCCAAACGTAATAAGCGCCCAGGGCGCTCTCAAAATTAGAAATAGGGGCTTTTATTAGAATATTATTTTGGTGAAAAAGAACACAGTTGAAAGATTGTAAATTTCGTGGTTTATGCTGACAGCCTGAAATGTTTATATACGACAGATATATTTTTCCAGAATTTAATTGCCTATAATTAAGGGTGCATATAACACACGAGTGCGTATTATATGTGAATAAATAAGTTGTGTTCATTGATCAATCCGAAGGGGTGCTAATTGGGATTGTTCACTACTCAATATATTAGCAAATATCGCCGTGGGCGCTTATTAGAGTGGGGCGCTTATTACGTCGAATACAGTAATTTACTACTGAAAACAGTTAAAGAGCATGACATGACAGGTTTAGTTAGCTTAGAGAGAGACTAATTCATACTTATACAGAGAGTGAAGCCCATTTCTGGTCTCCCCTCCGTCATATTGCTGAAATATTGCTCAAAGCAGCGTAAAACCGTACTCACTCACTCACCAATACAGAGTGTTGTAAGTTACCTTTGTGGGTGCGGGTTGAGTCTATATTCAATACTATCTTTTTTCTCAGCTTTGTAGAGCTGTCTAAGATTGTGCAGACAGTGTCTTGTGTACTGTTGCTCACCATTTTGAGCAGTATACTCCCCAGGGAGCTGAGAATTAAAATCATTGACTTGAGTGGTATGGCGCATTATAAATGGACTCCAAACTGTCCAAGTCATAGCGTTTTTTTAAATAGGCATATTTTTGTTGTTTTGTTGTTGTTGTTGTTGTAGTTGTTGTTGTTCCAACTGTTACTGATCACATTATGTTCCTCTCTCCAGGTTTCTCTGAGCTGTCCCAAGATGACCAGCTGATATTAATCAAGACGGGTTTCTTTGAGATCTGGCTCACTCGCATGGCTCGTATGTTCAACAAGGAAGAGAACTCTGTGACGTTTGAGGATGGGAGTATTATACCCAAAGATGAACTAGATGTTGTGTACTCTGTAAGTGACCAGTGCAACCGTATTTGCACATTCGCGACGTGTCTCTGGTTTTGTAGCGCGAGTGGAATGTGGTGTTGACACATAAATCGTCTTGCAACATATCCCAATACAGAGACTTGTATTGCCTCCATATTGCAATATGTATTGGGGCCCAAATTATATGTATTTGTACTGTTTAAAAGGTACTTCTTCATTCAGGGGGCACGGGTGGCCCAGTCGTCTAAGGCGCCGCGATTCGCTGTGCAGAGTTGCGTCCCTTGGGCACACCAGAAACCTATGATTGTGGGTTCGAATCCCGGTTCGTCCCGATTCTGCTTCTAGGTTTGTCAGCGTGCTCGTGGGTTTCCCCGAAGTGGTAAACGTCTGAGACATGCATCACTTTGGGCTTTCCTCCCACATTAAGCTGACACGCCGTGATATAACTGGAATACTTAAAAGCGGCGTTAAACCCAACTCCATCACTCACTCTTCATTCAATAATGCAGACTTCAGTTTGCAAGATGAGTAGTATGGATAAAAAAGACTACCTACTATGTCATCAATATAAACAACGTGAAGAGGGTGCTGTTTACATGGTTAAGATAGGAACCCAGTCCATCCAAATACCTCAAGACATTAGATGTAATTATCTATTCCCTTGGTGCAGTGGGTATTCCAGGTTAGAATAGGTCCCCAGCAACCTATTCTGGTCGTGGGTATCCGGGTTAGAATAGGTCCCCAGCAATCTATGCTGGGTCCCCAGCAATCTATGCTGGTCGTGGGTATCTGGGTTAGAAAAGGTCCCCCACAACCTATGCTGGTCGTGGGTATCTGGGTTAGAATAGGTCCCCAGCAACCTATGCTGGTCGTGGGTATCTGTGTTAGAATAGGTCCCCAGCAACCTATGCTGGTCGTGGGTATCCGGGTTAGAAAAGGTCCCCCACAACCTATGCTGGTCGTGGGTATCTGGGTTAGAATAGGTCCCCAGCAACCTATGCTGGTCGTGGGTATCTGTGTTAGAATAGGTCCCCAGCAACCTATGCTGGTCGTGGGTATCCGGGTTAGAAAAGGTCCCCCACAACCTATGCTGGTCGTGGGTATCTGGGTTAGAATAGGTCCCCAGCAACCTATGCTGGTCGTGGGTATTCTTGGTTAGAATAGGTCCCCAGCAACCTATTCTGGTCGTGGGTATCCGGGTTAGAAAAGGTCCCCCACAACCTATTCTGGTCGTGGGTATCTGGGTTAGAATAGGTCCCCAGCAACCCATGCTGGTGTGGGTATTCTGGGTTAGAAAAGGTCCCCAGCAACCTATTCTGATTGTGGGTATTCTGAGTTAGAATAGGTCCCCAGCAACCTGTGCTGGTTTCGGGTATTCTTGGTTAGAATAGGTCCCCAGCAACCCGTGCTGGTTGTTGGTATTCTTGGTTAGAATAGGTCCCCAGCAACCTATTCTGGTCGTGGGTATCCGGGTTAGAAAAGGTCCCCCACAACCTATGCTGGTCGTGGGTATCTGGGTTAGAAAAGGTCCTCAGCAACCTATGTTGGTTGTGGGTATCCGGGTTAGAATAGGTCCCCAGCAACTTATGCTGTTCTTAACTCTTTCAACACCAGCCAACCAGAAGTGTTTACTGCTGTGACAGCGAGTTCCCAGAGACTTTTGTGTGATAGATGAAGCCAACATTTATCAAAGAAAATATCTGCATGTAAAATATCTTTGCTACTACATGTTATACACCATTTGAAAGGTCTGATCCTATGGTTTATACATATGAAAGTTATGTTTTTCACATTATTTAAGAAAATGCATTTACAACTTTATTAACTTCGTTGTAAATAAAAATTATAAGCTAACACGTTGTTAACGTCCAGATTAAGGACCAAGGAAACGAAAACTAGACGATTTTCGGCAAATATAAGATTTCATTAAATCCACTTACCTATTTCTGTTTTATTTTCATTGTTTATGTAATTGGAAAATCATTTTAAGAAGAATTATAAATAGTATCTGTCATCACCCATTTCCCGATAACAGCGGCTGTCCGCTCAGTAACATGAAGAAATACCCCCGTTTTCGAGGCTTCTTATGAATAACACGTTCGTCGATGACTGGCATATGACACATCGCTGGAAAGCTTATTCCTCCATCTACACGCTCGTAACATCGCCTTATTTTTTTCGTTGTTATATCAAGCGATTTCATTGGAATAAAATTGGTTTCTTATGACACTTTTTTGCCGAAATCTGCTACAAGGTTCGTGATTGGTCAATTTTGAGCACGTGACCTAAGGCAGCCAATCAAATTACAGCTGTGATACCAGGCTCGTGTTTGATAAATTTCAGAAGTTGACGAAAGATTTTTGTTAAATCGTGTTATTCTGAACGTTTTGTCTGGGGACTCGATGCTTCTTGACCGGTATACCGGCCTACGGTGTTGAAAGTGTTAAGAGGCGATCAGTTAGATCGGGTGGTCAGACTCGGTGACTTAGTTGACAGATTGTGTGTCACTGAACCCCAATGGTATGGTTCATTGCTCATGACGTCAATCACTGGTCCAGACTTGACTATTTAGAGTCACTGTTATATAGCTAGAATACTGCTGAAGGCAGCGTTAAACAACAGAAACAAATAAATGTTTTAGTGTGAACCTGGTGACTCTCTCAATAGTGTTGATCCGTACCCTACATTTTGTCACACAGAACTTACTTTGCTTTGTTTTTATGTATCAATTGTAATCTTGTTTATTCTGCTCTTTTTCAGCCTGAATTTGTGTCGTCCATGTTTGATGTGGCTGCCAGCTTTAATGTCCTAAACCTCAATGATACAGAAGTGGGCCTCTTCACAGGCATTGTGTTAAGTTCAGCTGGTACGGCAGTTACTTCTACCCTATTATCATACAAGTAACAGGGTTTTACCTTGACTTACACCGCCTCCGTGGTCTGGTGGTAGAGTGTCCGCCCGACGATCCCCGGCCACGTCATACCAAAAGACGTTAAAAGATGGTACTTGTTGTTACCCTGTCTGGCGCTCGGCATTAAAGGGCTAAAACAAGGACTGGTCGGCTTGGAGTCAGTATACTGTGTCTGAGTGGGGTATTCATGTTAAACTGCGGCATGGTATCTCAGTGAGCTAGCACTATAAATTGGCATCAGTCCGGACTAGTACAAGCAGCCATAGAAACACACACACGTACATGCACGTCGCTATATAAGTGCAATAATCTTGGACGCGACGTTAACCCCATTTCACCTCACCTCACCTTGACTTACAGAAGTGGGGACCCCTATTAATAAATTTTAAGGGTCCTTGCAGGATTTTCCTGTATTGAAATGGTGTACTTTACATTTACATAATTACTTAAGAGCCTGGAATGAATCAATGGTCATGTGTACAGTGGTTATGATTGATGGAGGAAATAACAGACACCAGTCACTGCTCTTTGTGTGCTGTAGGTACAATGAATATGCTTGTGCAAACCTTGGGACGCTGTATGTTTTTTTCTGAGTCCGTTCTTTGTATTTGTGCATTGTGTAAAACCCTGAGGTATAATCTTGTAGTTTCTTGATCTCAACTAGTTCAGAAAACTTTTAGAAACAAGTCCCCACCACGTCTGTAACATAGAATGAGAGTAGTTTTAAGATGTGTGTGAAAACGTGTGCCAGGATTTGGATTTTCCATCATCACTTTATTTTTTGTGAAAGATAAATGCCTAATGGTTAAGGATAGGCCACTGGTGTGCCAGTATGTCAAGTGATTGACGGATATGACCCCAACAGTCAGAAGTATCAAATTGTGATTACGATGAGCTAGTAACTGCATCTAGCTAATGTTTCACATTCTCATCTTGATATTCTGTGTTTCTTTCAGATCGACAAGGCCTGTCTGATTCCAAATCTGTTGAAAAAATTCAGGACAATTTGATAGAAGCTTTAAAACTTCAGGTTAGCCGGAACCATTCCACAGAAGAGAATCTGTTCGCCTCCATCATAATGAAATTGCCTGAACTGAGAACCCTCGGGTCAAAACACCAGGAAACACTGAAGTGGTACCGAGGACACTGGGAACATGTGGCCCTACCACCATTGTTTTCGGAGATTTATGATATACCAAAGGCAGAGGAAGATGTGGCTCCTTAGGAGACAAAGTGCCAAGGGAGATAACTCCAGTGTTCAAGGGGGGATAACTCCAGCTTATTTGGGCCCATGATTGGAGACTTCATACAAAAGTGACTGCTACACTGATTGTAGAGTGCTGGAGTAATTGTGAGGGTGATGTAGCTTGGGATTAGTATCTGTACCGCTGTGAGTGGAAGGGGAGATTATTCTGTGTGTTTTCATTCATCACTGGCATTTGGATAAAGGTGTCACAGTTATGTTCAAAGAGGTCTTTGTCTGAGCCAGGTTTGGTGGTACTGTGGATGAAGATTTTGTGAAAGAAGATTCCTGATAGTTGAAGAAGAATTCCTTGGCCTGTGGTGGCTTGTGTCAACATCCTTGAAGTTGGTTGAAGGGAGTCCTGTATGGAATTATCTTTAAACCCAGTTACTGCCTTTTCAAACTTTGTTACATCGAAAGAAGACAAAAGAAATGTTTCTTTCTGGTTTTTCCCCCATTTTGTTGTGAAAATGGGCTATTGTTAAAGTCCGCATATCAATGCTGCTAATCTTGTTTGCAGTTTGGCACACAAAATGGGAGACAGCTCTCAAGGAAAGGGAGACAACTCTCAAGGGAAGGGAGACAACTTGATCAGGAGCCAAGTGATGGTATAATACCACGTTGCCAACAGTATTTGTATGCTGCTGTAAAGATTCCATGTGAACATGTGTGAACTGGCTTTGTTTGATGGTGTTAAAGAACCTGAGATAGGCTTCTTCACATTCAGTATGTTTTGGGTCATTATAAGGAGACAAAGACAATTCTGAGCTATTTTGTCCGAGTCAATGCCAAAGTCACTGGTGCTTAATCCACAGTGTTTCAGCTATTGGAAAGGGCGCTCCTCTCCGTAAGCCTACATAATATTCAGGCACAAGCATGAAATAATCATAAACGCAATGACCAATAATATTTAAGAAATTTCAGGATTAGTGTTCTTGAAAGTGGTGACCCAAATTTGTCTCTACCAAGCATAATTCATTTGTGCCAATATTTTCATGATTCTCAGGTTACTTCTTATGTTGTACACCTGCTTGGTGTTGTACTCAATACACAGTCTGACTGGTGTTGTACTCAATACAGTCTGACTGGTGTTGTACTCAATACACAGCCTGACTGGTGTTGTACTCAATACACAGTCTGACTGGTGTTGTACCCAATACAGTCTGACTGGTGTACTCAATACACAGTCTGACGCTGGTGTTGTACTCAATACATAGTCTGACTGGTGTTGTACACAATACAGTCTGACTGGTGTTGTACTCAATACACAGTCTGACTGATGTTGTACTCAATACACAGTCTGACTGGTGTTGTACTCAATACAGCCTGACACTGGTGTTGTACTCAATACACAGTCTGACACTGGTGTTGTACTCAATACACAGTCTGACTGGTGTTGTACTCAATACAGCCTGACACTGGTGTTGTACTCAATACACAGTCTGACACTGGTATTGTACTCAATACACAGCCTGACTGGTGTTGTACTCAATACAGCCTGACACTGGTGTTGTACTAAATACAGTCTGACTGGTGTTGTACTCAATACACATTCTGATTGGTGTTGTACTCAATACAGCCTGACACTGGTGTTGTACTCAATACAGTCTGACTGGTGTTGTACTCAATACACAGTCTGACTGGTGTTGTACTCAATACAGTCTGACTGGTGTTGTACTCAATACAGTCTGACTGGTGTTGTACTCTATACAGTCTGACTGGTGTTGTACTCAATACAGTCTGACTGGTGTTGTACTCAATACAGTCTGACTGGTGTTGTACTCAATACATAGTCTGACTGGTGTTGTACTCAATACAGTCTGACTGGTGTTGTACTCAATACATAGTCTGACTGGTGTTGTACGCAATACACAGTCTGACTGGTGTTGTACTCAATACACAGTCTGACTGGTGTTGTACTAAATACAGTCTGACTGGTGTACTCAATACACAGCCTGACTGGTGTTGTACTCAATACACAGTCTGACTGGTGTTGTACCCAATACAGTCTGACTGGTGTACTCAATACACAGTCTGACACTGGTGTTGTACGCAATACACAGTCTGACTGGTGTTGTACTCAATACACAGTCTGACTGGTGTTGTACTAAATACAGTCTGACACTGGTGTTGTACTCAATACACAGTCTGACTGGTGTTGTACTAAATACAGTCTGACACTGGTGTTGTACTCAATACAACAACTATACTGGTGTACAAGCTGTGACTCCAGCATGTGAGACTGTGGATGGCTTTTCATCACATCAATGTCATCACATCAAGTATAGCTAGCTCTAAGGGTTCAAAAGTCATGTTACTGTCTGTTATTTGTTTAGTCTGAGTGAACTTTCAGGTCCCAAGAACATATTAGCCAGTTGAGCTCATGTCATTATCTTTTGGTCTCCTTTTGAGATATTCAGAAGATCTCATGTTTTTGAAAAAAGTTCCATAAGGCTCAGAAAGCTGAAACTTGAAAATGATATGAACAGTTTGTTCAAGGCATCATAATACCTGAATGATATTTCTCACATAATCTGAATCTGTTTGTGATATGGGCTGTTGTGGGATTCAGCGTGTCAGTTTGTGTTTGTGTGTCCTGATGATATATAATAAGAAGTTGAACAGCAACACCATGGATTGATTGATACACATTTACAACACCCACAAACTCTTGTCTGATATGTTTTTCCTGATAACATTATAGCAGATAATGATACTATTTCTGAATCCATTCTGCCATTGAAGTGAGGATGTTCTGATGCTTAATAGTTCTCAAATATTTAGGATGACTATATCGTCCTCAGACATTTGCATGAGAATTTGTAGGTTTAGAATTTGAATTCTGCTATTGCAGGAGGAGAGTGACATTCTAGATGAGAGTGTAAACCCCACTGTAGATACGAGGATTCAGTGATGGACCACTTCATGTTTGTGTTGACATGTTTGTGTCATGCTGGTCCACATATTGACATGCACTTTGGGACGGCATCGGTCATCACTTCGGAACATGAATCCTCACTTCGGGCCCAAAACAGGGGGAAACAGTATAATTTGATAAGAACTGATCTCACAATGTGTTTGGTGTATTTGAGAATGTGTGGAGTTCTTATTTTGAAACTGTATTTTCAGTTCTAGATTTATATAAAAGAATTCAATGTTGTGTAGATGAAAGTCATAATGTCCAGAGCTGCTTTGTAACTAGTGTGTATGGGTATAGGGGTGTAAAGATTTGTGAAGTCAGGATGTGGCTTGTATTCCGAGGTCTGTTCACTTTAAGCATTGTTAAGCATTGTTTCGGAGGGTTGAAGTTTCTGGTGCCATGTATGAATACAACAAGACCGTATCATATTGCAATAGAATGATATGGTACATAGAGAACTCACAAGATGCAGTATTGCTCCCATCTTCAACATTGGTGTTTTGATATGTATGGCATCATGACCCTTGCAGTGCAATACGTATCGTATCGCCCTCCCTTGCATTTGTTGCACATCCTACAGTCGTGGCTGCACGGTCTTGTTTCATGGATTCATGGATGACGATGCAGAGTCAAAACAAATGGCCAACTACAACATGCTACAAGGGCAAGCTTCAGCTTGTTGATTGTAAAGTTTAAAACCTAAAATTTATGTTGTTTTGCAAATGCGTTATACAGCTTGTTTTTGTTTCCTATATTGTATCTAAAACATCTTTACAGAGTTACCAAGGCATAGGTTTTTTTTATATGAGCATACTTTCAGGTGAAATTATTATTATTATTATTATTATTATTATTATTATTATTTCAAGTGTTATTATTATTGTTATTCTTATTATTAAGCATACTTTCAAGTGAAATTATTACTATTATTTTAAGTGATATTATTTTTATTATTATAATTAAGCATACTTTCAAGTGATATTATTATTATTATTACTACTACTACTACTACTACAAAACATATTTTAAATTCTGCAAGACTACAGGCAGGTTCATCCATGAAACAGAATAAGTGCACTGGTTTTATTTTCTGTGGTGATGTCCGTACAAGTCCAGCCTCGTCACTCATTACACCCCCATGTTGTACATACGTCTCTCGTTGACAGTTGGGTCACCACTAGTAGAGTCCAACCAAGGCTTCAGCCTGCTGGTACATTCTTTGATCTCAGGGACGAAAACAGCAGCATTTTCTGGACAAGTATTTCACAGGTTGTCGGGTCTGCAAGACCAAACCACAACAATCAGGATAAAACATCATCTTTACTGGAGACTATAAATAAGCATAAATGATCCGGCCTCATACTCCAGATCGATGTGACCGTGGCAACACTGGCATTGCCGTGTACCAGATTGACCAGTGATTTGTTATTTTCTGGTACAGGGAATGTTTAATTATTGTGTTCATTTTTATTATTTGTATTATGACAAGGTACAAAATTAGTTGTTAATTTATCATGTTTATTGTTAAGGGATTTATCTTGACCTTCTCAAAGGCCTATAGGCCCTGCATCTGCAGGAAGTGTCAGTAAAACTTCCCAAATTGGGATTATGATTTTTCCAATTCATTTTAATATATGGTTTGTGGAGGTAATTTGTATATCACTGACAACAGCGGCAATAACATGGAAGAGGCATTAATGCTTAGTTTTACAGTATCGCACTGAGGTGCAATGTTAAAATACCTCTGAATTTTGAAAAATGTTTGTGTATTTTTTAGAGCCAATTTGAACAAAATAATTTTATTTCCTTCCAATTTGCTTGCCATGGGCACTAAGTTTAGAATCCTTGGATCAATTTTGGGATGGACAATGATGAATTCTTTTTAAGTTGTAAGTTGTTGGTTTACCTGTGCTCATGGTTTTTACAAATGGGACATGTCTGAGCCCAGCTTTACTGTAGGCTTTGGACATACATGTACTTAGTTGACATGTGTGACGTAACTGAAATACTGTTCAAAGTGGCTTTAGACAAACATTCACTCAAGCAGTGTGCCCTTCCATCCCACTTGAGCAGCGTTAGAAACTGGCGCTAAACCTGTAGTCCTTACCCAACTGCCCAATAGTAAAGGTATCATAAGGACTGGTACTAATTTGCCAAGTTTTAGGGTTTTGCTGTTTGTTATTATAAGGTATAGTGGACTAAGACTGTTGTTTCTAACGCTGCTTGAGTCTTCTAAACTGTGGTGATGCTGGTGTAGGTTCATACAGCAAGCCACTATAGTACGACTTCATCTGGAATATGAGGCCATGTCGTTCAAGCTGCTTTTGTATCATGATGCATTTTAAATATCATTGTGACAAATATGAATGTGATTTCTACCCATGTACATTATGGGTGAACCATCCAATGGTAGCTTGTCTTTGTGTATCATCTTGTGACATTTTCTATTTTTGAAATATTGTAAAGGGCAATATTGGTGCGTCATTATTGAAAACAATCAGACCTTCTTGTTTCAACCCGAAGAGCTTTTGAAGGTTTGTGTTGTGTTAGTTTGTGGGAAGTTTATGCTTTGTGGATGGAGTGCAGTAGTTCATGCAGTTCAGGGACCGACATTTGATATACTGGGAGGCCTTGGGTCTTTGTTTGGTACAGATCGAGTGGGGGTCACTGCTTCCAAGACATACAGGTGGCATAGGGCGCCATGCAGAGTTGTGTCCCTTGGGCATGCACGAAACCTTTGATCGTGGGTTTGAATCCCAGTTCACCCAGATTATATTTTTAGGCTTGTCAGCACCATACCCCTGGGTTTCATCAAAGTGGTAAACGTCTGAGACCTGCATCTTTTCAGGTTTTCCACGTACATTAAGCGGTCTGAAAGGAGCATCCAAACAATTATTGAGAGCCCCATAACATTTTTCACCAAACATCCAGCATATCCAGTCAACCCCCTTTTTCTGAAACCTGAGACAAAATTGTATTTCTCAAGTATTTCCTTGAAGGTTTTCTATGAACATCAGTATCACACATCAAAAGATGTCACTTTTATCCATCCCATGTTGAAAGCAATACTAATTCTACCTCATTAGTTACTGCAGGTAAATATTATTCAGGGTTATGTTTATTTTCATAGAACAATTTATTTATTTATTAAAATCCCAGCCCCAGAATACATCAAATAGTTGGTCCTTTAATTGTGATGGAAAACTGCTGATCATCCAAATAGGCAGAGATTAGGACCAGTCTGGCACCAGGAGGGGCCAGGATGCCATGTATACCGATTGTACGCGTGTAATCCTGTACAGTGAAACCATGTAGGGCCAGACCCTGTTTAAACCAGAAACCCTGCCCAGGCCAGTCTTTCTTTACTTTTTGGGGGTTTACGGATTTTGATCGTGAAAAATGTGTCCAAAAAAAGAAAAGCATTATACTGGAATATTTTATTTATACTAAGGTTTGATATGGATTTTAGGTGATAAAAAACTAAGTCTTACCTGGTTTGGGTTCTTAGAAATATTATAGATCTAAAATCTGACAGCTGCGTTTCATTGTCAGTTTTATTGTCAAGCGATCTTTTTATGTTGGTGATATCAAAAAAAACTTTTGGATTTGATTTTCTGAATTTTCAAATTTTAATATCAGCGGATCCTTAATCCAAGCAAAGAAGAATGTAGTGGTAAGTCTTTGTGGACAATTACCCTGGTACTGGTTTGGATGTCTGTATTCAAGTAAGTGGACAGTGCCATGTGGCCATGGTTGGTTAATCCAGAATTGTTTTAGTCTGGCTGATTTCTTCTGGGAATGGCCCAGGGTACTGAGGAATCATCCAGCGGAACCGTTAGAGTAAGACCTACTTTCTCAACTTCTGACATCTTAAATTTGCAGTGTTGTGGCTATTTTACAATCACTCGTCTAATGTATATTTTTTTTAATCGGATCTACCTCATATTAACCAACCCTAAACCTTAAGATAACCATACACACACATGCACACGACACGATGGCCTCACAATACCTACTCCAACTGACCTTTGATTTTTACCATTAATTTGGTAGAAGGATGTGGACTATATTTTAACCTAGTTGGTTGCTCTTTATGAAAATATCAGATGCCCATCCCAAGGACAAGGACTACTAAATTGATAACCTACTGTAGGGACAGGATGTGGCCACACTACCAATGAAAAAAGGATTAATATTATTATTATTATTATTATTATTGTAACTACTCATTAAGATGTAACGGATAACCTATTCTCAGGACAGGATTGTGGCTCGAGTTAATACTGATAAACTGGCAACCTAGTAGGTCAGGAGTGTGGCTACATTGACATATTAACAGATAACCATTTCTTTAGAAAGGCTTGCGGCCGCTCTCAGTATGGAATAACGGATAACCTATTATTAGGAAATGCTTGTGGCCACTCTTAAAATGGAATAACGGATAACCTATTATTAGGAAAGGCTTGTGGCCACTCTCAGTATGGAATAACGGATAACCTATTATTTAGAAAGGCTTGCGGCCACTCTCCGTATGGAATAACGGATAACCTATTATTAGGAAATGCTTGTGGCCACTCTTAAAATGGAATAACGGATAACCTATTATTAGGAAAGGCTTGTGGCCACTCTTAGTATGGAATAACGGATAACCTATTATTAGGAAGGGCTTGTGGCCACTCTTAGTATGGAATAACGGATAACCTATTATGAGGAAAGGCTTGTGGCCACTCTTAGTATGGAATAACGGATAACCTATTATTAGGAAATGCTTGTGGCCACTCTTAAAATGGAATAACGGATAACCTATTATTAGGAAAGGCTTGTGGCCACTCTTAGTATGGAATAACGGATAACCTATTATTAGGAAAGGCTTGTGGCCACTCTTAGTATGGAATAACGGATAACCTATTATTAGGAAGGGCTTGTGGCCACTCTTAGTATGGAATAACGGATAACCTATTATGAGGAAAGGCTTGTGGCCACTCTTAGTATGGAATAACAGATAACCTATTATAAGGAAAGGCTTGTGGCCACTCTTAGTATGGAATAACGTATAACCTATTATTAAGTAGGCTTGTGGCCACTCTTAGTATGGAATAACGGATAACCTATTATTGAGTAGGCTTGAGGCCACTCTTAGTATGGAATAACGGATGACCTATTATTAAGTAGGCTTGTAGCCACTCTTAGTATGGAATAACTGATAACCTATTATTAAGTAGGCTTGTGGCCACTCTTAGTATGGAATAACTGATAACCTATTATTAAGTAGGCTTGTGGCCACTCTTAGTATGGAATAACGGATGACCTATTATTAAGTAGGCTTGTGGCCACTCTCAGTATGGAATAACTGATAACCTATTATTAAGTAGGCTTGTAGCCACTCTTAGTATGGAATAACTGATAACCTATTATTAAGTAGGCTTGGGGCCACTCTTAAAATGGAATAACGGATGACCTATTATTAAGTAGGCTTGTGGCCACTCTTAAAATGGAATAACGGATAACCTATCAAGACAGGGTTGTGTCAATACATTTTGCACATGAACAGATAACCTTTTATAAGTTCAGGATCCTGGCATATTATTATGGATAACCCATTGTTTGGAAAGGTTAAGTTAAATACCGTGAAATATTAATTGTGTTTCAAATAAGTTATGCATGTTACTTGTTGGGTTTGAACTTGTTGATATTGATATTTTACCTTATTTTTAGACAAATAATAACATGACTGTTTTATTCACTAAAAGTCTATTGTTTGATTTTAGAATTATGTTTGAATTTGCTACTTTTATCTTTAAAGTTTCAAACCAATCAAGTTTTATACCGTGTCCAGGTGTTTATAGAC